GACTGAGGGCCGTGAGTTATTTGGCGTATGCATGTGGGAGGTAGTGGCCAGATACTGCACCAGGGTGGCTAATCCTTCTCTGGTGAGGGAGTGCGTTCCCGGCGGTGGTTACCGGTGAGGCCGCACCCCGGGCCTCGTAATGCAGTTCCATCACCACGCGGATTTTTTTTATCTGGTTGGGAGCTGCGCGGCACCGGGATTTGAACCATGGACCTTTTGCATGCGAGGCGGATGCTCTAACCACTACGCCATCGCTGCTTTTGTAGTTAGTCATTTTGTAGTTATCAGTCAACTCTGTTTTCTGGCACTGCCGTTTTGTTTACAGAAAGACCAAGTAATGATTGTCTATTATGTGGTTATGGTTGGACCCAGGAAGGCATGCCCGCTGCAGCACTAAACTTTATTTCGCAGCAATGCAAGCTTGTTTTAGGGGTGAAGCTTCTTAAGGTGTGGGTCGATTCCTAGTAATAGTATGTTGTAGGAGTAGCCACTTCAAGTTGGTTTTAAGAATTGCTCATTAGATAGCAGTGTGTATATGTCCTTGGAAATGATATCACTGGATGGCATTAGTGGTTTCGGTATAGCTGACTATTAAAGAGGATAGGTGGCGCTGTTATACTAAGAAATTCACAGCATATCCACGATCTGAATGATGATGAGTGGGGTGAAGCGTCTGTCGCGCAAACAAATGGACGGACACTTCGCCCCACTCATCCTTCACTCGGTGGATATTCTGCGACATTTTTTTTGTTTTGATGAATATTGACGCATTTTGAGATGCTGCGTCGACACTGCCGCTTTCATCGCATGCAGGCTTTGACACCACATTGTTTTTCTTTGAAAAAAATTGCACCAACAGCTGTTGCAGGTGAAATCAGTGTAGCCCGCTTGTAAGTTCAGAGCGTCGGCACTTGCTGTCATTGTTGTAGTGACATGGAGGTTGCTAATTTTGAGTCTCATAATATGCTGCAACATTATCCCTGCTTTGATGTCAGGAAAATTTAAGGATTCAACTAGCTTCCAATTGCTCAAGAGGCTCTGCAGCAATCTACTAGGTACCATTTTTTATTTTTAATCTATTGATGAAAGCGAAAGCTAAGTATGTCAAACTATTGGATGATGTTTAATGTTGTCCAGTCTTGTCTTCCCGGCTTCCTTGATTATGTGTAGGTTTTGAAGTCTGTGACTTCCTTTGTATTGGTAGTGTCATCTTCGCCGTACCAGACAGCCAAGGAAACAAAATATCTCACAGAAAATATAGCAAAGGAGAGGGTCTGGAAGATCGGGACCCTTTTTAGAATTACACTTTTTGTTTTGATCATGAACACAGAAGAGTGTCTGATTGATGATAATACAGGTCTAAATAAACTGTAAATCTTCTGTGATAGCCCGGTTTCTTCGGCTCGTGGTGCTGCTGTATAAAAATAGTGTGGGATTGCTAACATCTGTACCATCCCACCCACCTCTTGGGGTGGAGTGGGGCGTGACTTCAGAGGAGTGGGACCCATATAACACAATTGTCCAAGCGTCTACAGGGACCATTATGTATAGCCTAACATGAAACAAGGTTGCACAAATTTTGCTGCACTGATAGTTTTTGGCGCTGTCAGCTTGATCCCAATGTCTGTATTCGGTAGTCTCCATATCTTTCTAAGGGGGAAAGTAGAATTGAAAGGTCCTCTATTTTTTTTCCCTGCAACTGTGCACTGACGCTGACAGGTTATTACTGCTCTTGGCTCTATCAATGTAACTAACGCCAAATTTTTTCGAAGGCCCTTCACCAAGTGACAAAACAAATTTTAGTTAGACACAGGAAGTTATTGCGCGCCCTATAAAAAGCATTATGCCACAGAAAAATTTCTAATCTGTCCATTAGAAGCTGAAAAAACCAATGTTTTGAGATGGCGCGAAACCATGATGCGAGAAGGCTATCATGAAACCCTTGTTACTTGCCCCATGAAGCTTTTGCAAGCGAAATCTCTTCCCTGCCCTCCTTGGCATTCGAGTGAGAGAATCACATGACGCATACATATGAACACGTCATGTGCACACAGTGCCACGAGCGCATGATGCGCCCGAGTTAGCCCAAGCTCCTGAGACACGAGCAGTGTTGTGGCGACGTTCTGTGCGCTTCGTCTCTGCAGGCTATGCTGAATACGCTGCGGCGTTCATTTGGCTTTCATCGTATGCTGAGCATGAAAGGTGCATTTTTGTACAGACGCGAGACAAATGCTGTGGCGTATGAACATTCAGTTAGAAGCCGGAGGATAAATGAGCCCAGTGAGCACTGGAACGCGGTAGAAAATTTGTTTTGTTGTAACAGATGGCCTCTGCACGATGCGAGAAACGCGAGAACATGATGTGTGCAAAACGGAGGTATATTAGTCTCGAATATGGCTGTGATTTGCAGAAAATTGAAAAAAGAAAATGCACACATTCAGTTTGTGTGTTTTATAATTGCTCTGACGTTTTTGTCTATTCGAGCAACAAATTACACAAACTGCACTATGTGCTAAATAATTATGACACTTTTTGTGACTCATGCGGGTTGGAACTCTTGGTGACGTCAGAGCACAGTCTATGTGAAGGAGCGATGTCACAGCACTACCACCTATGTAGAGAAATTCCATCGTGTACATCATAATCTTATTTTCTGGGCTCACATACAGGAGATAAAAGGAAATCAGCGTTAGGCTTGAAATTTGACCCATTTCCGTGGTGCACAGCATTGTGAATTTCGGAACACCTTATCCTGAACACCCAGTATATGCATTGCACTTGTCAGCTCAATATTGTCAAATCTAGTGAGGGGGCCTTTAAAGAAAAACATCCCTTTTGTCGCTTGAATGTATTCATTCGGCCAATTGATTTCAAAAATGTCATGCGAGTCGTTATAAAAAAAAAAAAAAAAACCTGACATGTTGCTAGACTTATCAAAAGCAATGGCAAGTGCGTTGTATCAACACCACCTAGATAAGTTCAGGCAGGCCTCTTCACTGCCGCCGTGACGTTACGCACCTGGCCCGTCGACGCGCGCGCGCGCGAGCCGCTGCGGCGCGGACGCTTCCCGCGCGGCGGCCACTACAGATGAGTAAAACATTAATTTCTGCATTGCCGCGATATAGGCATAGAATATAAAATTTCTGAACGAACGTTATTTCACATCAAGATGAAATAGTGCTGTTCCGCTCCATCTTGGCGGACGTAACTGCTTCAGATTGCACTTAAAAGAAACGTACACAAGTCCCGGGCACCTGGCAAAATATTTATTACAATGTAAGTACCATGTATCACAAGGAACATACGAACTTCCAGCTTTTAGCAGTCATATTGACATCTATGACTACATTGTGCAACACAAATACCGAAACTGACAAGATTAAGCAAAAAAAAAAAACAAGGCGCTAGATTATTCGTTATAATGTTTCAAAATTTATCACAGTGAAAAACTTTTAGCATCTGGTACAGTCATATTCACAGCCATAATCACATTATGGGGCAAACAGAAAAACACAACTGCTCTTAGAACGAAAGAAACTAGCTACTGGAGTATTTATTACAATGTATAAAGTGTATCACAAGGAACAAACATTTAGCATTTGGAACAGTCATATTCAAAGCCATATTCACATTGTGGGACAAAAAGAAAATACGAACCGGCCAGCTTAAAAAAAACTAGCCATTAGTAAAGCTTGCTTCATATTTTAGCGAAGGGGCCACTAGCAAAGTTTACTGTAGCGTTAGCAACTTTCTTTGCTTTGTACAGGCTTTTTCTTTCATGACACTGTCATTCCTGCAAGCGACATAGTTTTTTAGAAGCGTGTTGACAGCTGGTTTTAGAATGTTCTTGAGTACGGTATCTGGATGGTGGCCACTTGCACACATGTCCAACTCCTCGCCGTCGCTTAGTAGGAACTGCATGATGCTCAAGAGGACCATCCTTTGGTTGGCTTCTGCATGAAACCGCTGCTCCTGTTCCTTACTGACAAGGTGCTCTAATACTATCTTAGTGCCAAGAACAACATTAACAACAAAAGGCTGCGGAAACTTCAAGCCGCCTCTGCTCATGCTGTCAATGAGTACGTGCTCACTTTGCTGCAGTTCTCGGTCAGTGATCATGAGCTGTGACTGACAATCCTCACATGGCTGACGTTTAATTGCAGCATGCGCACAATAGCCTGCAATGTATGCCAACGCAGGCACGTCAGTTTGTGATGCCTTCAGGTCACTTCGGGTGAGTTTGATGGCATACTTTGCTATTAGCATCTCGGCATCAAGCTCCTGTTCCTTAGGTGCCAATGACAGCGGCATGTCTTCCAGCTTTAAAGTGTCCTGCAAGCGAATCTTTGTCTCTGCTTCGAATACTTCTGTGATTGACACATTGTAGTGAGATCCACACATTTGGCGGTACTTCCCGAACCTGGCCTCAAGGCGATCTGTTTGAAACTTCCCCAAAAGGACGTACCTAAAGCCCAGCTCATCAAGGCAATACCGTGACAGCTCAATCAATGAATACGTGCTTAGCCGTAGAGCAAAGTGGGTCTCCTTTGTCAAACCTCCAGCCGTGGTTCCCCTCCGGCTCCACCTGTCAAGCCAGGTAATGAACTGATCAAGGTACTGAACTTGCAAACAAGACATATCCTTCACAGGCTGCTGATAAACATCACGTAGTCTGTGCCCCTTTTCTGGAGTCTTAACATTTACAATGCTCCACCACCTGACAATCAAATCAATAAAGGTGGCCGTTTCCTGCAGTGCAGCCAAATGCAATTTTTGCGCTTCAAGTGACAAAGCTGATGACACAAAGCTGTTAAAAACTTTCAACACCAATTTCACATTTTGACGCTCTAGGTGGCTTGGATAAAGTGCTTTATAGCTCAGACCATAGGCAACCTTTGCAAGCTTGCTTTGTTCACTCTGGTACGGCTTCCTCAAAAAAGTAAACGAAGCTTTTTGGTCCTCACCACTTCCACAGCTTTGAAAAGAAGGATACAAAAACGACTTGTCATCATCCTTCTGATTGAGCCAATTGTTGCGTATACACTTGAGCAAGTGAACAGTGTCCACAACATGAAACAATGGCTGCTGCGGGTTGGCAGGATGAGGAAAAACAATCCCTGGCTCATTTTGCTCGCTAAACAGAGACATCATTTTCCTGTTTATGGCATTGTTGTCTGTTACGACCGCAACAACATGCAGACCAGCACTTTCAAGCCTCATGATTAGTGTCTTTAGAACATCATGCAGCTCCGTTGCTGTGATACGAGTTACCGGAAGGATATGAGCAACATCTTTATAAGATGAAAGCAAAGACTGTACCATGAACACGTGCGCTGTCTTTGCTGGTTCCGCACAATGCGCAGCAAACCCTGTTAGGCAGCCACCTTTATATTCAAAAAACTGTTGCAGGTGTATTTCATCAAGCATGACAGTCACATTTTTTTCATGAGGCTTCAGAATGGTTGCTCTGCGCTTAATGTACCCCAGAAAACCTTCTTCGCACTGCTCTTTCGATGGGCTCACATCATGTGCAGCACAAACTCGCTTGATGGTAGTGTCATGCGGCAAGACAAGCTTGTTGCTGTGGCGAAAAAACTTGTAAGCATGTGGAGAAATTGTGTGCAATATACTGCTAAAGACTAAAAGCTCTGCAGAATACCGCACGCCATTACTCTTCTTTGTCAGCAGCTTGCACTGCTCCTTCAGGAAGATTAGTGCGTCAGCCCTCTCATCATCATGCAGCTCATCATCACAAATGTCATCCAGCAAGGATAAAACAAGCCTAAGCACTCCTCCCACCTTGTCCTCCTGTTGACGGGCCTTCTTTTCACAATATCGCTCCACGCTGTCTAGAAGGTTGTCCAGCACACGGACATCACGGACTTCGTCAGGAATGCACACATCATCCGACACCAACGGAACGCACTTAAAATACACGGAAACGGACAGATCCTCTGTAACCACCACAGATACAAGCATCTCCGTAGCTTGCAACGCCGGTTCGATGTGGGCGACGATGAGGCACGTCTCGCAGGCTGTTGTACACCAAAACTTCTTATTCGGACGCTCGTTAACCCGAGAAATCAGTTCACCCAGATTACAAACTTTGTACTGTTTTTCTTCTTTTTCAAACGCTGCTTGGGACTCGTGTATGGCTTTCTGGAGTAGCTCATTTTCAGTCCGCTTCCTTTTCAGTTCAGGCTCTTCTCGCGACGTGCGCGAATCCGAGATATACGAAGGGCAGTCTGGAAAAATGGCTGGGAAGGCGTCTGGAGTCAGCCGTGTCAACTTCATAGGAGCTTCAATGGTTCGTCCATCGCAGTCCGTTACGTTGACGTTGTGCGCAGGTGTTCCGACTTGAAGTGACGCTCGCAAACCTGCGCGTGACCGGAACAAAAAAAAAAAAAACACCAATTAGAATCTCCTGGGATAATTACGAGAAATCTCGTTAATTCTGAAGGGGTACGCTCGATGCAGCTTACCTTGGGGTCCTTCAACAGCCTCACGTCGACGTCGCTCCGTCGCACAGCCCGCTGCCATTCCGCTCTTCGCTTAGCGTCTCTCGGAAAAGAAAACAAGCGGACTTTCGGACCATTTTCATAGTTCCCTCGACAGTTGGGTACACAACACCGCCCCATGTCTCAGGATACATTCGTCAACAAAATAAATTCGGCGGAAGCGGTAACTGCAACACGGAACAGCGCGCACGGCGTGGCCGCGTGGTCTCGTTCAACGACAGAGTGAAATAATTGTCACGGCTGCCGCCACCTGTCGGAGACTCGGACCACTTACGGCTCTGCCGCAAAGCTACGGGCTACCACGGTGCTCGCTCTCTCGAGAGGGGCCGCCCTCCTCCTTGCCTGTCAACATGCCCGGACACGCCGAAACGGAGTGGCTATGAAAAGAGAAAAGAAGAGAAAAGCGAGCCCCGTTATTGTCTGCTTCAAAGAGCGACACCGCCACAGTAGCTCACGAGGGATGGGGGTGAGGAGGGATAAAAAGGATAGGAGTAAAGATGTGGGAAAGCCGAAGAAGGAGAAGAGAAGAAGAGACGTGTGGTAAGCCACAGCGAGCGAGGACAAATCGAGGGGATAGAAGAGATAGGAAAGATGGAGCACGGTCACTGGAGTCCGAGGACGGGGCGCACCTGCGAGAGCTCCTTTCGGCGTCGGTGGATGGCGTAGAACAAGTCCAGTAAATCAGAGCTGCACTGTCGTCGGAGGTGGAAGGTCGTCGGCGGCAGGAGATGACGTAGGGCGAGTCCAGTCGGCCAGAGCCACGCTGACGCGGGAGATCGCAAGCGCGCGGAGCGCGCGAGCGCACGACCGGTCAGCTCGAAATCCAGCAAGCGAGTCGGACACGCCGAAACGCTGCTGGTACGGCGTGAGCTAGGTGGTGTTGGCGTGAGAGGCTCGGGCAAAGTTGAATGACGTCACACGAAGGCGCGCCGGAGTGAAGAGGCCTGAACTTATCTAGGTGGTGTTGGTTGTATTCACTTGCACAACAGCAATCTTGCAGCAAATACACTTTCTTTCTTGGATGGGCTGTAGCGGGAATCTTGACTGTACTGCGCTTCTTCTTTATGACTTTCATGCTAACCTCTGTGAATTCTTGTTCAATCGTATGCTCCCCAATGTACATGAAACGACTTTTGTTTCCCCTCCCCCCCTTTTTTACGCTATGTAATACTGTGTGGCAGTAATGTAGAGGAGAATGAGACAGTGCTCCGCGCCTCCCTCAACTCAACTTTCTGTGAAACTACATTTCCCAAAGCAAACAACATTCAGAGCAAAAGATCAAGCATAATACCTAAACGTTTTTTTTTTTTTTGAAAATAACAAAGCTAATTCGTGTTTTTGGAGGAAATGTAGTATTACTATACACAAAACAGTTGTAATCCGAGAGTATTATTGTTGTTAAAGCAGAAAGTTACTGTTGTCATATGAAAAAAAATGACTCACAGTCACAGAAAGCTCCATTTGCCAAAGCTGCCTGCCATTACATCCATGCAGTTGGTCTGTCAGCGCCTTTGTATGAGTCGTTGGCTAACGCCTTTGAAGGAACTGCAAAAGAAATAGATGTGCTGTCTGTTTGCTCCAACTGTTCCAAAACTCCGGACTCTCCCCTATTGTGGCAAGCTTGCTGTTTCGCAGGGTGTTCCGTTATGAATTAAGTGACATGCTGCAGGGTTGCTTGACGAAGCTGTTACGCCACAAGGTTTTGGCTTCACATGCAGGCACGCATGAATTTGATTTAGCCACTCTACATGCCTGCCTGCATGTGTGCTGCTGCGGAATGCCGATATTGATGCAGTTTGGCAGTTAAAAAAATTAACAGGACAGCCGTGATGTGTCTTCGACTGCAAATCGTAGCCTTTGAAATTTCAGGGTACTGTTGCTGACGATTTATTCTCCGACAATAGTAATCGGAGAGTAATCATGATGGTGGCTAACAAGTCGTGCCAGCCGTCATCTAGTGGAGAAAGTGATTATTACAAGTTATGCTCGAACAGATGGGCCCACTTTGTCATGCCCTTCTGCTTTGAACCTTCACCTGGATGACATGCACAACTGCACCTGATTTCACGTACGTACTTATTGCTCGAACGTTAGAAAAAACATTGAGGTGCACTTGAATAATGCCTATGGTTTTACGTCTCATAACCACGATGGCATTGTGAGACATGCCGTTGGGTAGGGCTACGGAAGTTTCGATTATTTGGTGTCCGTTGACGTGACCTAACACCACACAGTACATAGTCCTCTAAAATTTCACCTCCATAGAAATGCGAGCACCACGCCCTTTGAGCTGTAAATTAGATCACGTGGCGCTTCAACGAAAAATGAACTATGTATACCTGAAATATACAGAAAAAAATTGTTAATTGTATAGGTCAAGTTCTAGCATTACGTTTTTTTAAATAACGAAACCAACCAAGAAATCAAGTTTCCCCTTGACACGTCTATCTTGCCACGGGTTCATACAATAGTTTTGTCATTGAAGCGACCATCGGCAGTTTGCTTTGCCTACAGTCACGAAGACTATTTGTATAGAGACATGACGAACTTAGAGTTTGCGCCTAGAATAAGCTCATAGTTGTCAGACGTGTCTGGAGAATACAACTGCGACGCGCCGCTGATTTCCGCGCAGAAAGACCACGCGACGCTTGTGTCGGAGGCCACCCGGTACGGAAACTCCAGGACCCAGCTGGGCCTGTCTTTCGAAATGGCCACCCTGATATACTTTCTGAACGAGACCAGAACGGATCCTGAAATGGCAATCTACGACCACTGCCGACTCTTGTACGTCACTGACGCAGGCGCGAGGGTGAGTTATACTTGATTCACGCTTAATGTGTCACGTATAACTTGCGTGGATTTCGTGTTTACCGTTTTGTTTGAACGACATGAAGGGCAGCTTGAAGTGTTACTTTTATTCATTGAAGACACCTGAATGGAAACCGCCTGCTGAGAACCAATCTATTCGTTACGGATAACCCGCTGGATGTAATACCAATAGAGTTGGCAGTGACCGTTCCGTTCACTGTATCAGGTGTTTCTGTAGGTATAAACCTGGGATTTTTAACCAGCACCACTCGTAGTCATGACGGGGAGTATGGAAGACCCTTTTGTTTTTGCTGTTGCCAGCTGTCATGATGTAGCAAGTGATATGAACCGCGGAACTCTTTAAGATCGCAGGAAATTTGGTTGGGCAAGCGCCAGACAAAGCGGGTACTCAAGGTTAACAGCGCGAAGATGACACATGGCTGACAGGAAAAAAAGACTGGACAAGCTGTGAGGTGGCTTAGATGGTACTTGAAAAGAGGGCGGGCGTAAGCAAGCCGTCAGTTGCTCTGTGAGAAAAAGAGCTCTGTTTTTTTAAGTGGAGGGGGGGCGAGGTTCGGCGTAGCAGGATTAGTGATTGGGGATGTTATTTCGTATCTTTGCTATTGTCATGTTTTTCACTGCTTTTTCTGTTCACTTGGGTACATATAATAGCCTTGTCAATAACATTTCAGTTGGAGGTCAGCGCTTGTCCCGTCTTTTTTCTTTCCGCCTGTGTGTTATTTTCGTGTTGCTAACCTTAAGTATCCACAACCATTGCATTGCTAAATAACCTAGAGAACGAACTGCAACTCATGATTACTAAATTAGACAATGAGAGCAGAATGGTAGGTCTTAAAACGAATCTGCAGAAAACAGGAGTAATACACAAAGACCTCGGATGAGAACAGCGCTTCGAGATAGGTAATATTGCACTGGAAGTTGTTAAAAACTACGTCTACTTAGGACAGGTAATAACCGCGGAGCTGTACCACGAGACTGAATAACTGGAAAAATAAAAATGGGGTGGAGCACAGTCGGCAAGCACTCTAAAATCATGACTGGTAGATTCCCAATATCCATCAAGAGGAAGGTATATAACTGCTGGATCGATCTCTGCTGCTTCTTACCAGTACTTACCTACAGAGCAGAAACCTGGGGGATTACAAAGAGGGTTCAAGTAAAGTTGAGGACGACGCAGCGAGCAATAGGAAGGAAAGAGATAGGTGTAACCTTAAGGGACAACGAGAGAGCAGAATGTGTCATGGAGCAAACGAGTGTTAGCCGAAATCAAGAGAAGCATAGTAGAAATCAAGTAGAAATAGTCATGGGCATGGCACGTGGCACGAAGGCAAGATAAGCACTGGTCACTAGCGATCCCAAACTGGATTAAAAGAGAAGGAAAGTGAGTGCAGGTGAGACAGGCAGATGAGATTAGGAAGTTTGCGGGTATAAAGTGGCAGCAGCAAGCACAGCACCGAGTTGACTAGTGTAACACGAGAAAGGCATTTGTCCTGCAGTAAACCTACTCAGGCTAATGATCATGATGATAATAATAGTGATGATGATGATTATTATGATGATGTTGCACAACCAGCTAGCCCAGTCAGCCACTCTGTAAAGTGGGTACGTTCCAAGCAGCTCCTGCCATACCAGAGCCATGCGTGGTATAGCACAACAGGAGGTCGAGGTGCAGACAAGTGGGTTCAGAAAAAGTGAGTAGTTGAAAGTCGGGGAGTAAGAAAGGAGAAGGGAAAAGGATGGACTTGTGTATGATTGTATTGCTAATATACGAAAAAGAAAAGTAAGGCTGAAGAGGAGAAAGAAAAAAGAGGGTGAGAGAGGGTACATCATAGGCTACACGGTAAAGAAACGTGTGTAGCATCGGCTGGGATAGAGGTGCTAGCGAAGAGAGGCCAATAGATAAAGAAAGAGAGAGAGAAAGGAAGAACTCGACCTGCTTTTACCGTGATGTAGTGCTTGCCTGCCAGCTGCGTCATTGGCTGAGATTTTACAGGCATTGAGATGGCTTTATTATTATTATTATTATTATTATTATTATTATTATTATTATTATTATTATTATTATTATTATTATTATTATTATTATCCCCGCTGGCACCGCCCCCGGTTCAACTGCGGCGTCAGAAGATCGATTCCTGAGGTGGACACGCACGACGAAGTTTTCCTTTTTTTAAATTTGGTTTCTCTCACGGTATTTTATCAACACCACTTCCCTGTGGCAGATGAACATCATTCTGT